GGCTGCAGTACAACGAGATTCATGCGTCCTCATCTGGTGAGATCGACCAACGAATCTCTTCTTCATTCACCTTCATACAAACTGAAAGTCCCCTAATAATGTTATCTCATGAGATTAATCGAAACCCAGTTTCTCTTCATATCTATAAGAGTAGACGCATTTCATCATATACGTGGTCCATGAAGCAAAGACCTGACAATAATAATTACTCAGGGTCTTTAGCCTCAAGTTAGTCTCACATCCAGCTTGAGTATCCTAATTTTTATGGGTCTACTCAGCGAGGCGAAAGGATGCGCGCCATCAACGCTTCGAATAGTACAGAAAGGATGTAAGGGGTCAAATAAAATACCTGAACCAGGAAGTTAGGAGGCGGATCCTACGGGGCAAGAGGGAGGCTCTGATAAGGCCTATGGAAAGATGATTGCGGGGTGAGGGGGGAGAAGGCCCGACCCAGGATAGATCTAAACTGCGATCCGGCACGATTGACAAAAAGACACATTCAGGATTCATACAAATGGCAGATACAGCGACAAAACAAGGTCTTATCTTCACTTAGTCATTTACACAGCGCCTAATCAGCACTTACTGTGCTAAATAAGAAATAAAGATGCCCTTCCATTTTGATCATGCCTTACCACATTCCATTCTGCTACACCCACTTTGCGTCATTGCATGCTTAGGTGATTTTCTCTTTTTCTGTCTTACCCTCCTTCACCGCATCGAGCCTAGGCTTTGTGCTTCTATTAAGCTCTGTAGCATAGTTGTTCCTATTAAAGAGGGCTGTTCCCCTTCCTTTGTGTATCAGTCGACGGTGTCTCCTACACACTTACAAGTCCTATTGAGTCTTTATGTTCTGCGACAAAGGTGTGTCTTGATCTGCTATTTCGACTCCTGCCAACTAGCAACTGACCGAGCCGGGAGGGCGGCTATAGAAAATGCCTTCTTTAGTGCAAACATTGCCGGACTATCTTCTCCTAAGATTAATTCGCCATTAAGATGGCTATAACTTGTTAATAAGACCAAATATTAGCAGCCAAATACAGTCATAACACTAATGGACACCTTCTGTGTACATGCGAAAAAAAGTTAGGTTTCGAGGCATATGTTGTTTTATCATTTTTAAGCTTATGTCCATTTCAAGTGAAAGTGTTTGGTAGATGGATTCGAATGTCGATCCCATCAGAAGATGACGGCTGATTCCACTTGACCAGTTTGGCACGTTTTCATCGGAGCCGAAGGAGCTTGTACCGGGAAGCAGCGTCAAAAAGAATGTTTCATTAAAGCCGATCATCAATTGATCAAGAGAAATCTGCCGTCGTCTTCTGGTGGGATAGACCGTTGAATCTCTTCACCGAGCACTTTTGACTCTGAATAGAAGTAAGCTTGATACTGTGTAGCCTGGCCCATGCCAGCATTACTAATTCCTAACATATTTTGTCTTACCAGGTTTTTTGGTGTACGCCGCGGCACTAATCGTCCTCAATGGAGTCCTCATTTTCCTGGCGGGCCCTCGCGTCGGCAAGACGAATCCCCTTGTCTACATAACCATCAGTGGAAGCATTGGCTCACTCTCCGTAATGGCATGTAAGGGTGTCGGAGTTGGCATAAAGGTGGGATATTTTGTTATAATGTGGCGAAAATGTGTTGAAGCATAACCTAACTTGCAAACCGCTAGCGCTTTGTTACTCTTTGGCGCTAGAGCCAATCCACCAAGTGACCATTGCATTTTTATTTAGACCAAAATGCCCCGGACTTTGATCCTACTCTGGGTGCCTACTATTAGGTGTCTATGATCCATAAAACCCTTTGGCCCAAAATTTGCGACGAAGCCTACTGGCAAAATCAAATCTTCTATTCATTTTCTTTTGGCTTGAGTGGTGATTTGTAAACAAAGGTATCTCCTGAAGCATCATTGATGAGTTGTGTTCTGGCTCTTTAAGCTCCTCCCAAGCTTTCTAAATTACAATATCCTACGCAATCGGTTACGAAAGCAGGAGCATGAAAGCATTACTAGACAATAGTTGCGCAAGAAGGTGTCAACCAAGCAAGTAAAGTTATTAGATGTTGGCCTACCTTTCATTTCGTTTGGAGAGGCTCTGACAATGTCTATCACGGGACAGACAAAAGCCCATCACGGATTCATCGGAGTCGTGGGATGGTGCGCCGAGGATGTATTTCAAAGACTCCAAGACAATCCTCCTTCGGTTTAAGGCGTGGTCATTATGCCACAAAATTCCTCCACACTCCACTTTTAATGAAATGTATGGCACGCCAACAAAATAGGCTTCTGTCTGGGAGAAAACAGACGCTAAAAACTAAACTAAACTGAGGAAACCATGGTACTTTTCTCATTTATCCCTACACGCTTGCTTTTGGCCAAGTAGTTCAGTATTCGTCATAGCTAGATCGAGTTATATAGAAAAAATGATGATCCATTCAATTGACTCAGGAGAATACAAGCTTTTAGCAAGTGAGTCAATTGAGATTGTATGGCCAGACTTAGAGATAAGCTTAAAATCTTTGTGTAAGCAACCAAAAAATTTAAAAATGGAAGCTGGATTTGTTTATTTAAAAAGACACCATAGCACCTTCGCCTTACCTTCTTAAAAATATTTGCAAAGAGGAGATACTTTTAAGCTGTATTGCTATAATAAAGGAGTTGTAAGGCCTAGAATTTAAGGTTTTTTATGCGGAAAATCAAGAAAACGAACTGAGTATATCAAATATCCAAATAATAATTAATATGAATTTGTCAAACTGATGGATCAGCAAATTAGTAAAGAGGAGGACCCTTTGTTAAATCTTAATATTTTATTAGTGTATAACAATATTCCAATTCAGAGAGCTATTCAAGCATTACCACTCGGCCTAGAAGAACACGCGGATCTCATAGAAGGAGTAAATCCAGGCCACAGTTCAGTTATAAGACTACTTAACCTATTAACGAGTGGTACACTTCATTTTTAACGATATACTTAATGTTTAGGTCCGAGGACTTGTAATGGTATCTTTTTTTGGCCTCCATTTTAGCTGATAAATACATTTAAAGAATGAAGCAACGTTACAAATGCTAGCTAGATATATGGAGGATTATTTTGCAATTCGGCAACAATAAGGATGGGATAGATCATTTCTTGTCCTCAATTAACCGGAGGCTTAGTAATATTAAATAAACAGTTGAAACAGAAGAATATTAGTGCTGCTAAGTGCAACATTAGAGAGGTCACTTATAGTGAAAATAATAAACCACATTTTAGGATTGTCGCTACGACACTAATAGCTGCTTGTAGTCAATAGATAGACTTCAAGACAAAGGTGGCGTTGAGTTGCTCGGGCGAAAGAGGTGATTCAACCAGTCCTATGTTAGTCATGGTTAGAATTGCGGTCACACTTTCTATTGGTTTTAGTTCATTTTATCTCTATCTCACACATACACGCATAAACAGAAATCTCAACAACTTGATCGGATGTGTGCCCAGCACTACGCAATCAGAGTATTGGCAAATAAATGGGTCATTAAAATTTAATTACCACAAGGTCCTAATTACTTAGAGTTATTGCGTCTGATTTTTTAGCTATAAATACGCATACATTTTCATGAGCTCACAAAAACATACACACCTACATGATTCTATATTTATGTATTAATTTGAATAAAGAACTCACTTTACAAAGCTTGTAAGAATGAGCCGGTGAGCTTATTTTATTTGTTACCATGAGTTTGTTGTCCTGATGATGCCGATCGTGTGACAGACGAAAGCTTTGCAAGTTTTCACTGGAATCGAAGGAGATCGCCTCGACAACAGTGTCGACCAAAATGTTCTAGTGAAGCCAACTGGCAGATGGCCAAGAAGAATCCGCCATCGTCTTCTGATGGGATCAATTTTCGAATCTCTTTATCAAGTATCTTCACTTGGAATTAAAGTTAGCCCAACAACTACAAACCGATAGGTCCCTCGAAATCTAAATTGTATTCATATATTTTGTAGCCCGTTAATTTTTAGAGTTTATCTCATCTTACCTAAAGCATGGTCTTGTCATAGAGTGTCGTATTCTTGTTTACGGGCTTTCAGTTGATTCATCTTCTTCAAAGGCAGGCCGTAAAAGTAAGATGAGCAGAGCTCCTTATCGCCATGTCAGGACCCAGGTAGATGGCTCCCACGATTTCTTTTTTATTATTCTGACATATTGAAGGATAAATATTCCCAATTATCCAACACACAGGCATCTTAACTTCACTATCCCACTGATTGCTATCTGTCAGAGGCAAACTTCAACTAATCAGTAGCTTCACTTTATCAACATTAGTTTTGATGAACTGACGTCCAATTTATGTATATGTCCTAACAAGGCTTGCAGGTTGATTTTTAGATGACGGAATTCTACTTGGACTTTCAGTTCCATTGAAAACATGCTCAGCTTTATCTCTTATGCCGTTTTACAGACCTCATCAGAGCTAGAACTCACTACTGGCAAATTGTAACTAGATATATGGATAGTTTTAACTCTATTTCGTTTAAGGTGATGAAGACTGGTGGTTGAATTTTCCCACAATCATATGAGTAGAGCTGATGTTTTTTTAATTGAATTTCATATAACCTTGCTTTCCAAAAAGGTGTTGAATTGCTAGTCCTTCATCACCTTGAACGAAATAGGGTGAAAACAACTCATATATCCAATTTACTGTTAGTCTCGAAAACCTACTTATTCAAGAAAAAATTGTAGCTGGCGCTGTTGACTGTTGATTCTGACCTAAATCCTGAAGCGGAGGTAAAATGTGGCAAAATTCGCGCCTGAGCGTGTTCGAAATTTCATTTTAACCATGAAAAGTTCCGAAAATGAGATGAAAATAAATGTGATATGTGAAGAGCCTAGGCTACCTTGAAATTCACATCTGCCATGTGACGAATGGACATTCGTTGCAAAGTGGCGTGTCGAGACTATACGCTGAACAATCATGGTTCGAGTTCTGCTTTGGGTGTTGATAAGATTTAGGCGAAGTAGAAACTGCAGTCCATTCCAGCATGGATGCGAATACCTTTTTTCAGAGCAAAGCTATGTGAAATTCAATGGAGGCGTAAGCTCTCTTCGACAATACCATCCTTTCGAGAATATTAGGACCCTCTTTTTCTATCAGGGTGCTACAAAAGTGTGTGTTCATGTGGTAGTGCCTATGCGAGAAAGACCTGTCGACACATACGTATGAGGTTGGCTTTACATAATACAGCCTAAAAAGGCGCTATGTCCAAAAATGATAGCACAGCCCACACATGACAAGTGGTAGACTGGCCTAGAGCCACGCATTGCATGCACACGATACACTGCAATGGAAGGGAATTACATGTGTCAATACTGCAAGATCAAAAATGTAAGTGATTCGGGGGAGGATGAAGCTGGTTGGCAACAGTTGCATCCACTTCACGCTTCGCCTGCACCCATTCCATTTTTCAACAAGACTGTAGAGGATATCTAGTCAAATCATGAGGTGGACAAAGTTAAACTGTAATAAGTAGGTAAGAAGAAGATGGCAACCAAACAGTTTTCTTGGAATCGTGTTTTGGTGAGTTTTCATAACGCATTGTGTCCTGCTTTCAGGATGTCCGCCTAGTGATGGACGAAAGCTCAGCGCCTAGGGCTTATTCGCAAAAATCTACAGTTCAAAGGCATTCCTTTGGCTTCCGGTGAGGTCATTTTACAAATCCCCTCCACTCGTTTCTCAAAACTGAATGGAAGGCTTGTTGATTCTTCGAAAGCCAGCTTTTCTTCAATCCCTATTTGGTTTTCTGATCCTCACAGCGTTTCAACTTCAACCAACGGTTAAATTGTTGGGGAGACTTTCGTATGAATGTGCATGAAGAATAGATTCGAAGGTTGATCTCACCAGAAAAGGACGCCTAAATCTAGTTGTACTGTAGCCGTTCGGCTACGACGTTTAATTTTCACGCAGTCCATGAGACCTCCCTCATTTTGGGCGAAAATGAGCAGAGCTTTCTTCCAGCATATAGTGAACATCATCAAAGCTGGAACTCATTACTTATACTCGATTGATAGATTGAAAGAGAAGGAGAGTGTTGAGCCGCCATCCAAAAGAAGGCGACTCAAATGGTCCGCTCAGTGATGCTTGTAACTTCACTCGCACTCGTATAAGACGCTATATTAAGCAAAGGTATGAAGACCAGGATAGTTTGGCCTTTTGTGTGATTGCGGTCTCCTATCGTTGCATAGACGTTGTTTGACCTTGCATGCGCAACTTGGTCATCCTGGCAAGAAGACCTAGAGGAACGAACCTTGTCCGGAGTTCATTGTATGCATGATCATTTCCAGAGCCGGAGCATAGACTTGGTGTACGACTCACTGACGATGCCGGCGAAACGTCTTGGAATGTACCGGCTCCGACAATTATCATGCA